TCAACATCATGGCACACGGGTAGTAACCCATAAGTGCTCCGTTCTTCTTCTAACTCAAGTCGGAGTCTGAAGTATCTCAGCGCAGTGCATGGGCTCCGTAGCACGAGGATCCGGAAATATTTTGAGTAGATTTTTAACATTTTGCCCGGGCAGCGCCGACAGGCTACTCTTTTCGATTTCCAACTGCAAAGGGATTTTTTTTAAATGTGCGCAACAATACACACGGGCGTCCGATAACACTACCCAGAGATCAGGGTAAATTACTAGAAGTCCACGTGAACAGAAAAAAATCCCAGTCTTCACCGGTACCCGGTGCGAAAAAGGTCCTGTTACCTCCAGAAAGAGACAATTTACAATCTTTGGTCATGTGATGAGAATGAGAAAACTGGAGAAACATCGTGACAGTAGGAAAGTTGGAGGGGAGGAGAGGCAGAGGCAGACCGAGAGAAAAGATGCTGGATAGTTCTACATTAGGACATGGAGGATCATCTGTATCAGAGTTGATTGAAAGTGCACGAGACAGAAGGGTGTGGACTGACACAAGGCATGTACTTTAAGAAGAAGATATAGAGCCAGTTTTAATAGATGGTCGTGAATCCTGGACAATTAATAATCGAGCCAACTAATTTATTGCAACCTCGCAGAAGTGGTTTCTTACAGAAGAATCCTTAAAATTCTTTGGAAAGACACACACACACAAAAAAGAGCGATCTGGATGTTTTGGAGGAGGCGGGAACTCGAAGATAACTAATCATAAACATCAGAAAGAGACAGACATATTTATGTTTTTTTCTTTTTCGGGTATAGTTACTGTTATAAGAAGAAGGAACCTGGAATTTGTGAAAGTGAAAGGATTTGAGGAACAAGAAACAGTGGAAGACAACGCGAGTAAATTCTTAAATGCCTTTTGTCATGGCATGGAGGGGTATCAGCTCACAAACTGATATATTCTGTTGAACACTGCAGATTATGGAAAGGAATGATTGCCCTTACCAGTCGGCAAGACACATGATGATGATGATGATAATGATGATGATGATGATGATGATGATGATGATGATGACCACTATCCAGCAATGCATACCTGTAAACTTGGAAACATAAATCCCACGGTGAAGTTGAAGACACTGTTGGCCAGGACACAGACAGACATAGCAGCCGGACGTGCGTCATAGGAGAATAATTCCGCGGCCATCACCCAGGCAACGCTGCCTGTGTATTTAACAGTTTCACATGTTTAGAAACATAGTTATTCAAAGATGTCGCAGATAATTTACTGGGAACTCTGTTGCCTCTCATACTTAATTGTAGCAGTTCAAGTTCATGCAACAGAGCTGACATCAAAGACAGTAAGTAGGTAGATTAGTAGAACCTGGACAATAGAACAAGCAGCTAGAAACTCGCTGGAGGCAAAAACCGAAGGCAAGTTGAGGGACAACATCAAGAGATGGACGAAAAGCAGTCTGATAGAATGTACTACAGAGACAAGACTCCCTTAAATCCATTGCCACTAACTTTCATTGTTGAGACGGCACCTGACAGACAGACAGACAGACAGACAGACAGACAGACAGACAGACAGACAGACAGACAGACAGACAGACAGACAGACAGACAGACAGACAGACAGACAGACAGACAGACAGACAGACAGACAGACAGACAGACAGACAGACAGACAGACAGACAGACAGACAGACAGACAGACAGACAGACAGACAGACAGACAGACAGACAGACAGACAGACAGACAGACAGACAGACAGAACAGACAGACAGACAGACAGACAGACAGACAGACAGACAGACAGACAGACAGACAGACAGACAGACAGACAGACAGACAGACAGACAGACAGACAGACAGACAGACAGACAGACAGACAGACAGACAGACAGACAGACAGACAGACAGACAGACAGACAGACAGACAGACAGACAGACAGACAGACAGACAGACAGACAGACAGACAGACAGACAGACAGATAGATAGATAGATAGATAGATAGATAGATAGATAGATAGATAGATAGATAGATAGATAGATAGATAGATAGATAGATAGATAGATAGATAGATAGATAGATAGATAGATAGATAGATAGATAGATAGATAGATAGATAGATAGATAGATAGATAGATAGATAGATAGATAGATAGATAGATAGATAGATAGATAGATAGATAGATAGATAGATAGATAGATAGACAGACAGACAGACAGACAGACCTACAGACAGACAGACAGACAGACAGACAGACAGACAGACAGACAGACAGACAGACAGACAGACAGACAGACATACAGACCTACAGACAGACCTACAGACAGACAGACAGACAGACAGACAGACAGACAGACAGACAGACAGACAGACAGACAGACAGACAGACAGACAGACAGACAGATAGATAGAGATAGATAGATAGATAGATAGATAGATAGATAGATAGATAGATAGATAGATAGATAGATAGATAGATAGATAGATAGATAGATAGATAGATAGATAGATAGATAGATAGATAGATAGATAGATAGATAGATAGATAGATAGATAGATAGATAGATAGATAGATAGATAGATAGATAGATAGATAGATAGATAGATAGATAGATAGATAGATAGATAGATAGATAGATAGATAGATAGATAGATAGATAGATAGATAAATAGATAGATAGATAGATAGATAGATAGATAGATAGATAGATAGATAGATAGATAGATAGATAGATAGATAGATAGATAGATAGATAGATAGATAGATAGATAGATAGATAGATAGATAGATAGATAGATAGATAGACAGACAGACAGACAGACAGACAGACAGACAGACAGACAGACAGACAGACAGACAGACAGACAGACAGACAGACAGACAGACAGACAGACAGACAGACAGACAGACAGACAGACAGACAGACAGACAGACAGACAGACAGACAGACAGACAGACAGACCTACAGACAGACAGACAGACAGACAGACCTACAGACAGACAGACCTACAGACAGACCTACAGACAGACAGACAGACAGACAGACAGACAGACAGACAGACAGACAGACAGACAGACAGACAGACAGACAGACAGACAGACAGACAGACAGACAGACAGACAGACAGACAGACAGACAGACAGACAGACAGACAGACAGACAGATAAAGATAGATAGACAGATAGATAGACAGATAGATAGATAGATAGATAGATAGATAGATAGATAGATAGATAGATAGATAGATAGATAGATAGATAGATAGATAGATAGATAGATAGATAGATAGATAGATAGATAGATAGATAGATAGATAGATAGATAGATAGATAGATAGATAGATAGATAGATAGATAGATAGATAGATAGATAGATAGATAGATAGATAGATAGATAGATAGATAGATAGATAGATAGATAGATAGATAGATAGATAGATAGATAGATAGATAGATAGATAGATAGATAGATAGATAGATAGATAGATAGATAGATAGATAGATAGATAGATAGATAGATAGATAGATAGATAGATAGATAGATAGATAGATAGATAGATAGATAGATAGATAGATAGATAGATAGATAGATAGATAGATAGATAGATAGATAGATAGATAGATAGATAGATAGATAGATAGATAGATAGATAGATAGATAGATAGATAGATAGATAGATAGATAGATAGATAGATAGATAGATAGATAGATAGATAGATAGATAGATAGATAGATAGATAGATAGATAGATAGATAGATAGATAGATAGATAGATAGATAGATAGATAGATAGATAGATAGATAGATAGATAGATAGATAGATAGATAGATAGATAGATAGATAGATAGATAGATAGATAGATAGATAGATAGATAGATAGATAGATAGATAGATAGATAGATAGATAGATAGATAGATAGATAGATAGATAGATAGATAGATAGATAGATAGATAGATAGATAGATAGATAGACAGATATATAGATAGATAGACAGATATATAGATAGATAGATAGATAGATATGTGGAGGTGTACATGAGGTGTGTCCATGCAACAGGCACCGCATACCAGCAGTGTCAGGGTCGACAAGCTCTTTCCTGGAAAAGTGAAAAGCAAGAATTAATAGCCTGCTCGCCAGGTCTGTGCTTCCTTTGTCTTGGTTATCAAGGCAAACACAGAGAAGCGTAAAAAGATGACACTGCCAAAGGTTAAGCGAGTTATTTGTATTGTCCCTAAATGTGCTAGATGTTGTCATGTCTAAACATGTCTGGGTCGATTCCCTTGTTCCGGTAGTTTTGGTGGCGGTTCCGTTTGGCGAGTCCATCTTCCTGTCTGTGCTTCCTTTGTCTTGGTTATGACTGTTATTTATGTTTGATCTGTTTCCCATATATCCCATGAAGTGACATTCTTCCACACCTGGATCCCTTTTTGGGCTGGACTGACCTGGGAGCCAAGGTTAATTTTGAGGTTTTGAACAGCGGATCAATATCATAGCATACGGGTAGTAACCCATAAGTGCTCCGTTCTACTTCCAACTCAAGTCTGAGTCCGAAGAAGCTCAGTACGGTGCACAGGCTCTGTAGCACCGGCGAGAATCATCAAATATTTTAGGTAGATTTTTAACTCCAAATTTTGTTCGGACAGCGCCATTTAACTTCCTTTGGTCTCTAGGTAGTAAGACCGGACGACTGTGTGTATTGTTGCGTGCGTAAAATATGACTTGGCAGTTGAAAATCGAAAAGAGAAGCCTAACGGCGCTGCCCAGGCAAAATGTGGAGTTAATAAATCTAGCCAAAGTATTTCAGGATCCCCGCCAGTGCTACAAAGTTGTTGCACTGCGCTGATATTCTTTAGACTTAGGCTTGAGTTAAACGAAAAACAGAGCACGTATTGGTTACAGTCGTGTGCGATGACTTTGATGCGTAAAATAAACATAAACATACATTTTAAATTGAAAGGATCAATGAACCTGGAAGAACGTGACTTACCGGGGCCAAGCGTGAAGAATATGACATATGACAGAACGCATACGATACTTGCAACGTTGAGCCAGCTTATTTGCTCCTAAACAGACAGAAACAGGTCGTATCAGTTTCAATCAATCAATCAGGTGCCGTCTCCACAATGAAGGTTGGCTGCAATAGATCTCCAACAAGCCCTGTCTCTTGCCCTTGATGTACACTCACTCATACTGCTGTTCGTCCATCTCTTGATGTTATCCTCCCACGTTTAACGCTGTCTGCCTTTTGCTCGCCTACCATGAACCTTTCCGTCTAGGATGATCTTTACAATACTGTCATGTCTTTTAATGTGGCCAAACTATTTCACTTGTCTTTTTTTTATTTCCCCTAGCACAACCTCTTTTCATTCCCAATTTCCTCAGTACCTCTGTATTTGATAGCTTTTGTTTCCATGAAATACGACCTAATCTTCTGTATATCCACATCTCCAAAAAATTGATACGATTTTCCAGTTGTTTGTTCATTGTCAATGTCTCTGTGCCATACAGTAAGGTTGAGAATACATAACATTTGACAATTCTCATTTTTAATGTATTGCTTATTTCTCTTGATGTCAGTAACTTTTGCATGTTGATGAAAATGTTTTTGGCCATCCCTATTCTTTTCTTGACTTCTGTTTAACTTCTGCCGTCACATGTTATTACTTGTCCAAGATATAAGACATTTTTAACTTGTTCCAATTTCACCCCGTTCACTGTGATATTCATTGTTAGCTGATTATTTTCTTTGCTAAATATCATGGTCTTTCCTGTCTCTTTTCAACACTGTGTTATACACATCCTTGTCTTACTCCTCTCTTGATCTCTATATGGGGTGAGCAGATGTTGTCATATCTTATTGTTGCTTCTTGCTCCCAGTATAAGTTTCTAATAAGTCTGATATCCTTTCCATCTAGTCCTATGTTTTGAAGAGCTGCAATTAGTTGTTCATGTTGCACTCTGTCGAAAGCTTTTTTGTAATCTATAAAACATGCATAAATATTTTTCTGAACTTCCGTATCAGTTTACTTGTGATCAAAGCAAACGCGAAAAGATTGTACAATTTATTGGTTGGTATATATCACTGTGGCGTTGGCAGCTAGAAGCCCGCCTGCGGATCGGAAGTTTGTGGGTTCGAGTCCTGATGAAGCCGGACTGTTTGTTTCACAAATGACCTTGACTTCCATGTCGACCCAGCCTCTAGTGGGTACCAGATGCAGTCCTGGGAAGTAAAAGCCTCCGGCGTGATGCTGACCACATTTCTAACCAAGTGTCAATTGGCTATAAAGAATGTCCTATATTCCCAATACCCTTAAAGGCGTGGGAAAAAACCTTTCTTTTTTATTCTAATATGTTGCCAGGTGCTTACTACAGGAAAAATAAAACCAGTATGAAACAAACTCTTCTAACTGAAACACAAAAGCACACCGTATATATATATATATATATATATATATATATATATATATATATATATATATATATATATATATATATATAAAACAACCCCTGTTATCAGGAAAATCGCAAGGGTACAGATGTATCCTTTTGTCTACGAGGCATAAGAGATTAATGATATACCACAATGACTTCAGAAAACTGAAACAGACTACTGTATAAACAATGGGATGTATTTAAAAAAAATAATTTGCCATCTGTAAATAAAAAATTAATAGAGTGGAACTGCAATATTGGCCATTAAATATTTCCTGAGAGGAATCGCACGTTGATGAGAGAGACCAAATCTGTTGAGCTGGATTCCATCTATGATATTGAACTTTTTGCACGATATAGAAAGGAATGGACGAATAGACTGCGAGCCCTTGGTGACGTATAATGGCACAAAATACAATGAATGAATGAATGAATGAATGAATGAATGAATGAATGAATGAATGAATGAATGAATGAATGAACGTGTCACCAAGGGTCTATTCTAACATTCCGTTCTATCCTGTGCCGTTGTCTGAATATCATGGATGGAATCCACAATAGCATCTTTGACACCCCCCCCCCCCTCTCCTCTCTCTCTCTCTCTCTCTCTCTCTCTCTCTCTCTCTCTCTCTCTCTCTCAACAACGTTCTGATTATGGTGTCTTTCTGGTTCTTCGACTCCTCAGTCCATCTGTGTCCTATTTCAGTGCTTGCTTGTTGATTCTCTATTCGTGTCTCCTCGGAATGCGCCCAAAATATCTCAATTTCTGTGTCTTATAACTGTCACTACCAGCGGGTGTTCGGACATTTCTGTTATTTCTTCTTTGAAACATCTCCCATAAATGTCCGCATCCTTTTCCTCAGTTTAGGTAGGTAGGTGTTTTGCTAAAAACATTTTTTAAATCGTCACGTTCGTTTGTTTCTTTGTTTTAGAATCCAGAAGCCATGATTTGTTAACCCTTAGGCTCGGTATTATGGATATCGCAACCTTACGGCCTTGATTCCATTGTAAATACCGTAAATCTGGGAGAAATGTGGCTTTCCTGCCTACCCTCGGGAGTCAACCCGGACCACAAGGAGTTTGTCACCCGGTCTCCGCGCAATCCGGTTTAGCCAACTACGCTAGAGAGCCGGACAAACGTCACGTTCAACCAGCATCCCCTGAAGTGGGAGCTTTAGGTTATAATTGTGACAAGCTTATATGCACCATTTAAACTGGCTTAACATTGCACAACACCAAAAGCCCTGAAAATGACAGTGTTGATCTCGTCTTCTTCGCGTTCATCAGCTGTACCCTCTGGCGGAAAGTTTTGGTTGTTCGTCCACTTCTCAACTCAGTTCTGCTACAGAACCTGAGTGTTGCGTGTGAATCAGTTTTACAGGTTTGACTCACTTGAATGCAGACTGTTAGTTCCTTGCCTCTCAGGCAGATGCACTCTGATTTTAAAGGAAGCTCCCCAGTTAGTCCACTCTCAGGACATGCTTTTCGGTAGGCAGTGTTGATGTGATCAAAGGATATAGACCCACATAATGGCAACGAAATCGTCTACCGGAGAACCAGTGAGTGACCATGTCGCCTGATTATGTTTCCCCAGTATAGCAATGTGAATATCTAACCTGTTGAGACTTGCGACACCAATTGTGGGTTAGTTTACAATTCTTCACATGATAGAGGACCACTTACCAGAAATCTCAACGATACTGTAATCATGACACCACATACAGCCATGCCAGCGAGTCCTATCAGCTGCGATGTCCGTCTTCCCAACTTATCCATCAACGGAATGGATACTATAGACGTCATCAACATAACACCGCCAACGGCTCCTGTGGTGTACGTGGCAATAGTTTGAGAACCACTGATGACTTTAAACAAACTTGTGGAATAGAAAAATATCTGTGGACAAAAATTAGCATTTCAGCGTAAGTATTTGACTTATCCATGCTAGCTTGCTCTTCTGCCTGTACTCGTTTTTGTCTAACCCAATCATTACAGTATTACAATATCAATCGCTCTCATTTAATGTCAGAAAGAGGGTGCTAAAATGTTATATAGAACCTGTTCTGCTGTATGGCAGCGAATCTTGAAATGCCAGTAAACAAATTAGGAAGAATTTGGAAGCAAGAGAGATGTGGTTTCTAAGACGAATGTTACGAATACCTTGGACTGCCAGAGTAACTAACAACGGTTGCTTAAAAGAAGCTAATGAAAGTAGATCTCTATATACAATAATAAAAAAACAGACAAACACTGTTCTTTGGCCACATAATGAGAAGGAGACATTGGAGAACATAGTGACAACTGGAAAGATCAGTGAAAAAAGGGGTAGAGGCAGACCAAGAGAGATGATGCTGGATGAACTGAAACGATGACACAGAAGGATATCATCAAGAGAGCAACCAGGGATCGTGATCTGTGGAGACGCATGAGCGCCTACGCCTGTTGGCAGGGCACGTGATGATGATTCATTACAATGGGAGCTGTCGTAGTATATCTGTTAGACGCTCGCCTGTTTATCCGAAGGTGGTGGGTTCAAATAAGGATTGAGCTGGATTTTCCACCAAACATGAACCTGGCTCTCAGGTCAGCCCAGCCTTTAGAGTGTGTACCGGATAAAGTAATAGGAAGTAAAGGCCTCGGGGCTTTAGCTAGCGGCCTCATCAAGTCTCAATCCGACCCCTTATACAGATATTGAAGTGGATTCGTTAGAATAGGGTACCAGGGACTCTTTTTCATGGAAAAAGGGGGGGGGGGATGAACCAGGAAGAAAATTGGGATACAGGTGATTGCTTAAAGGTTAAGACTTAAGCATTTGAGCCATCATCATGTAGCAGGTCTTTTGCAGAACGTTATCTCTCATCACGGCCCGTCAGTCTCTAGCCTGATCTCCCCCTTATGCACCCTCCTACCCAAATTCAAGACAAATCAGCAAGAGGTAGACATCTATACATGTTGGAGGGGAAAATGGACGAACAGCAGTCTGAGGGAGGTACCACCAACGCAAGAGACTGACTGATTGATTTATGTAGATGGTGTTTGGTTGATCGGTTGACTGATTTATTGACAGCAAGTACCAATTTCTAGAAACCTGTCATTTTAAAAGTGATTTGTTTGCGAGTTAATTCATGGCCACTGGTTCCCGAGTGGTGATTTAAGGGGCCTTAATATCATTTTAAAAAACAAACGATATTTTGTGTCGTGATTCTTATATATATATATATATATATATATATATATATATATATATATATATATATATATATATATATATATATATATATATATATATATATATATGACTATAAAAAAGCGTTCGGTCAGTGGCAGATAAGAGATGTCCACCGGACCCGTCTTGTGTTCAATAACATCAATGTAAAGTACCCTTTCCCACTCTGTGAGGCGTATTGAGCACATAGGGCTAGACCTATATTTTTTATAGACCAATGGGCACTTGGTGGGTGATGTGATGTGGCCGCCTTTACTTCCCAGCACTGCACATGGTACCCATTCAAAGTTAGGTCGACCTGGAAGCCAAGGTCATTTTTGAAGAAAGTCAGATTCCGCCAGGACCCGAACCCACGACCTTCCATCCGCTGGCGCGCGCTAGTCGCTACTAACGGCGACTTCCACACTACATCACAACACTCGGGACATCTCATAAGCGCATCGGCCCCATCTTAAGCAGCAAGCGAAGAGTTCCAATTCCATTGGTACCAGTAACTAACTGTATATCCGTCTCGCCTTTCCCCTTGAGTGTTGAGCGTCTGCCAGAGCCTCTGGTCCCTCCTCGCAGCACACTTCTCCTCCGATCGTGATGATCCTCACCTCCGCATGCGTACTGTTTGCCATTTCCCAAAGTTGAGTTGAGTCAAAAATTGACATCACAGCACTCGGGGCATTCACACACATGCTTCTTCCTCATCTTCAGCAGCCAGCACAGAGTTTCAGTACTGATGGTACCGGTCAAAATCTGGTTAAAAGTCCGTCTTGCCTTTCCTCTGAGTGTAGTGAGCTGGCCAGACCCTCTGGTTACACTCAGGTGCCTCATTCTCTCTAGGTCATAATAATCTTCTTTCTCAACTGATTCCGTTGTTTATTTCCAAAGGGCCTTGACCACATCTGCCTTGCCATGTATCAATTTACTACCCAGTGGTACGGATCCAGCCAATCTGTCTGCCTGTTCATTACCCACCATGGCCTGGAGAAAAGATCCAAAGTATGCTCACCATCCGCGACCTTTTCAGTGAAGCTAGCCACTCTGTCCGAAACATCACTGTCCTCACCTTTTTCAGCATGCTTTCAGAGTCTGTTACAATTACGACATGTGTATGCATCTTGTTCTCTAGCCCCTGGAGAGCTGCAGTTACCGCCTCCACCTCCATTCTCATGCTAGATGTTGTGGTGTCATATGCTAGGCTGTCTTGCACTAAAGATGTTCCGTTGGCTTTCGCTACGAACCCTCAGGCACTTCTCTTTCCTCTCAATACTAAACCATCTGTATAGATAATCAGATCACCTGGGTGTGAATTGTCGTAAATCAACTGTTTTCAACCTCCGTAGCACCCGCTGGCCACTCTCTGCACACCCGGCCATTTTCCAAAATGTCCATCATCGTCATCATCATCAATTCTCTTTATGCCTAGTGGCACATGAGGCTTCAGAGAGGACTTTCTATGCATTCCTGTCGCATTCAGGTCAATCCATGTCGTTTTTTGGGCGCCTCTTTTTTCTCTTTTCCTCTGGTGTCATGATGAGAGCTGTTTTGGCAGGCATATCAGGATTCATTTTCATAACGTTGCCAAGCCATTTCCATCTTCTCTTGGTTATCATACTGTCTAGTGCTTCTTGGTTTGTGACTTGAAATAGTTTAGTGTTTAAGATTTTGTCTGGTCAAGGGGCTCATGCAATACCTTATAAATAAATATAAAGTATAAATTCAATAACAGGTTGTGCAGAACCAGCCGGGTTATCTGCACATGTTCTCTAATGGGAATCACTACTCCAGACAACACATACATGCAGCTAAGATAAACATGTGGTAACAGCAATGACACTTACACCTCCGATGCCAGAAAACTGTAGAGAAAACTGCAAGATGATCGCAATCATCGTCGGGCGTCGTAAGTGTGCTTTTCGAAATAAGTTCAGTACTGAGACCTGCGTTATTCAAGAAAGCGGAGATAAAACAGATGCACAAGTGTTAAAATTCAGATGCAAGCATGTGCAAATTACAGATCTGGTAATAGGTAAGTAGGTAAGTAGTTGTACCCCACCAGGACATCACACAAGCGATAAACACATGGTGACACAAAGTGCCACCATGCAGATGAGGATCCTCGTGGAGAGGTCTCAGAAACCCCTTTCAGCCGTAGGCCATATTTATGACCAGGCCATATTTATGGCCCGGCTATATTTAGGGCACCCGACAGAAGCCAGAGTGGGGCTTCAACATAACAAAAAAATTACATCCCAGGAGGGGACGACTGTTATTATCTGTTAATAGTGGAGAAAAAAAAAATATTTACCAATGTTGTTAAAAAAAAAATCAGATGCAAGAGTGTGCAGATTACAAATTTGTTAATTCTTTCAGGATATAAAGATCCCGGCGTAATGCTGAAAACATTACCCACCTAGTGCCGATTTGTCTGTAAAAATATGGGTGCTCTTCCCATATGCCCAATGCGCCTGAAGGGGCGAGAAGGGATCTTTACTTATAGAAAGATCCCCAAGATTAATGCCGTCTCAATGAATCGACAAGAAAGCTCCAGTTTCCTTGGAAATTCAATGGAATAGGGTAAAGTAAAGGACCCTTTTCCACACCTTTAGGCGTATAGGGCATATAGAGCTAGACCTATATTATATAGACCAATCGGCACAAGATGTGTTACATGATCAGCATCACGCCGGCCGTCTATACTTCCCGGGACTGCACCCGGTACCACTTAAGGCTGGGTCGACCTGGGAGTCAAGGTCATTAAAAAAAAAAGTCTGCCTCCACCAGGAAGCGAACCCAAGACCTTCCGATCAGCAATGGAATCGAGCACCATGTTAATCTATGTACAGACCAGAGTTTTATGACGTCAGTGGTTAGATGCTCAGCTGCGGATCACAAGGACGTAGGTTCAGATCCTGACTGAACAGAACTTTTTTCTTCAAACAAATGGCCTTTTCCCACGTCGTCAAGCGTTTTGGGCCTTTAATGCTAGACCTATCATTTGTACATCAGCCAGAGCTTGGTGGGTGATGTGTTTAGTATCAAACCGGCTTGGTGGGTGATGTGTTTAGCATCAAACCGGCTTGGTGGGTGATGTGTTTAGCATCAAACCGGCTTGGTGGGTGATGTGTTTAGCATCAAACCGGCTTGGTGGGTGATGTGTTTAGTTTCAAACCGGCTTGGTGGGTGATGTGTTTAGCATCAAACCGGCTTGGTGGGTGATGTGTTTAGCATCAAACCGGCTTGGTGGGTGATGTGTTTAGCATCAAACCGGCTTGGTGGGTGATGTGTTTAGCAACAAACCGGCTTGGTGGGTGATGTGTTTAGCATCAAACCGGCTTGGTGGGTGATGTGTTTAGCATCAAACCGGCTTGGTGGGTGATGTGTTTAGCATCAAACCGGCTTGGTGGGTGATGTGTTTAGCATCAAACCGGCTTGGTGGGTGATGTGTTTAGCATCAAACCGGCTTGGTGGGTGATGTGTTTTAGCATCAAACCGGCTTGGTGGGTGATGTGTTTAGCATCAAACCGGCTTGGTGGGTGATGTGTTTAGCATCAAACCGGCTTGGTGAGTGATGTGTTTAGCATCAAACCGGCTTGGTGGGCGATGTGTTTAGCATCAAACCTGCTTGTTGGGTGATGTGTTTAGTATCAAATCGGCTTGGTGGGTGATGTGTTTAGTATCAAACCGGCTTGGTGGGTGATGTGTTTAGTATCAAACCGGCTTGGTGGGTGATGTGTTTAGTATCAAACCGGCTTGGTGGGTGATGTGTTTAGTATCAAACCGGCTTGGTGGGTGATGTGTTTTAGTATCAAACCGGCTTGGTGGGTGATGTGTTTAGTATCAAACCGGCTTGGTGGGTGATGTGTTTAGTATCAAACCGGCTTGGTGGGTGATGTGTTTAGCATCAAACCGGCTGCCTTTATCTCCCCCAACCTCGCGCCACCCCAATGGGCCCCGGAAAGCATACGATAAATTGAAGCAACTATTTACATTTTATTTATAGCATATATGATATATATATATATATATGATATATATATATATATATATATATATATATATATATATATATAGCATATATATATTGTTCTTTCAAGGAGAAAGCAAGTGAGAGTCCAACTGTGCCAAGTCTGGGATGTATGCTGGAGGTTTCAATCATTCAACTCATTCAGTCCAAAACAACGCATCATGTGTGATTGTACTTGCTCGTATGCTTGTACATTTTATATTTCGACGCAGCATAGTCCCACCTCCTCCGCCTAAAAAAAAAAAAGTCTCCTACAAGGGTTGGGTATTTAGCTCCAGTGGATGTAGTATACCCATGAGTTTGCTGCTGTCATTGGTAGCTGCCTCGTGTGGGCATCAACTATGACCTTCTGGAACTGGAAGAGTTAAACCGGAGAGGCTGTAGTGTATCCACCCACCGCTGAAAGAGTTAAACCGTAGAGGCTGTGTTGTATCCACCCACCGCTGAAAGAGTTTAACAAGAGAGGCTGTAGTGTATCCACCCGCCGCTGAAAGAATTTAACCAGAGAGGCTGTAGTGTATCCACCCACCGCTGAAAGAGTTTAATCAGAGAGGTTGTAGTGTATCCACCCACCGCTGGAAGAGTTAAACTAGAGAGACTTTAGTGTATCCACCCACCGCTGGAAGAGATACACCGGAGAGTCTGTAGTGTATCCACCCACCGCTGAAAGAGTTAAACCGGAGAGGTTGTAGTCTATCCACACACCACTAAAAGAGTTAAACCGGAGAGGTTGTAGTGTGTCCACCCACCGCTAAAAGAGTTAAACCGGAGAGTCTGTAGTGTATCCACCCACCGCTAAACGAGTTAAACCGGAGAGGCTGTAGTGTATCCACCCACCGGAATAACCTTTGCGGGGTCAGAGATTGCAGATAGCAATGCAGTGATGCACACACAGAACGGATAAGACAAGACTCTCTCATCAAGCCCTCCTATGAACAATGGAAGGGAAAACAAAACAGGTAAGACGAAGAAAGACCACGTATAGATCTATCATCAGGGAAGTCCCAACATCTGGCCTAATAAATATCCAAGACCTCAAACAGGTGGCAACGAGCCGCTAAAGAGGAAAGACTAACTAACTAACTAAGGAGGCGATGTCAGTGGTGCAAAATGGTTTACTTTCCACACCCAAAAGTTTCTGTCTGGCAGGCATCCGCAATCTTGTGCATCGGTTGACTAAATTTGTTGCAGGGCAGGCAGACGATGTCGAGGTATAGGTCACAGGACAATTTTGTTCTGGCCGCTTGTAAAAATACTTATTAATGCAGATACCATTAATTCATGACTTTGCCTCGTACACAAGGCAACTGAGAGAATGTGCCAACACCAACGACCACACACAAGAATTACAGTAGGGTAAAATTGCAGTAAGTTTGGTCACTTATTAACCTACCTGTTGACCACAGGAAGACATCTCTTGTTTGATTTCCAGCATTTCCAGTTCAACATCTTCCTGACCTCTGAGGGTCTGTAAGGCTGTTGGTGGCGGTTGAAGAGAAGAAGAGAGATGTTGTCGTGTATAGAGTATAGCGATAGTGATAATGTGGTGGTGATGCTAATGGCGATAATGAGTTGTGGTGTCGTGGTGGCACTGACTGTGATAATTATAACAATAGTGAGGAACAGAGACAGACAGACAGACAGACAGACAGACAGACAGACAGACAGACAGACAGACAGACAGACAGACAGACAGACAGACAGACAGACAGACAGACAGACAGACAGACAGACAGACAGACAGACAGACAGACAGACAGACAGACAGACAGACAGATTGTTAACGCCTAAACCACAGACGCCGACATATTTTAAAAGGTAATCTATATATCTAGATGTAAAAAATGACCCTTTAAATTCAAATGGTACATTAGGCATAATTTAAAAATCCGTCCAGATGCGGAATCGAGCCCACATCTCTAGAGTCTTAGTTCTATTTTCTAATTGGCTGTTCCTTGTCCAAGTCTCTGCACCATACAGCATGGTTGAATAAACTTAAAATTTGATGCTGTCAATAATGTTCTCATCTTACTGAATATAGTTTTAGCCATTCATATTAACTGACGGAGATATGTGAGTTAATAATACTGTCTTTTTGGTTAATATTAATTCTAGGGGACTGCGTTAGCTCAGTCGATAAGAGGCTCGCTTTCAAATCCATCTGCGAGTTGCTGCAGCCCACTGTCGGTGTTCGAAACCTGGCGGCTCCCAGGGTTCACCCAGCCTCTAGGAAATGGGCACCAGAATTGACACTCTGGGGTAAATGGAGGAACGTCGCTGTAGCTACAGAGTTACGTGCGAAACGGCGACACAGGCGGACAATTCTTATCAGCTGTCCGCACTGGTGGCAGAGCACTTATGGTTTATAACTGTGTGCAATGACGCTGGTTCACATCTCCCGACTTTGCCCTTTTACCCTTTTTAATGGTAATTCTGTGAGTTAATTATACGGATATGTGAGTTAATAATACGTTTATCAAGATTACCTTCATTACACTGTTTTTCATCACCCTTGTTGATGAGCAAAAATCGCGGGCTCTCCGGACAGAAAGGCAGAATTGCTGCTTGTAACAAGCAAGGCACGATTGCCAGACCTGGTGAAAGATGTAAAACACCACAGTTTCAAAATAAAATCATCACAGTTTCAAAATAAAAACATCACAGTTTCAAAATAAAAACATGACAGTTTCAAAATAAAAAACATCACTGAGTTTCAAAATTATAAACATTACAGTTTCAAAATAAGCATCACATAGTTTTAAAATAAGCATCACATAGTTTTAAAATAAGCATCACATAGTTTTAAAATAAACATCACATAGTTTTAAAATAAGCATCACATAGATTTAAAATAAGCATCACATAGATTTAAAATAAGCATCACATAGTTTTAAAATAAGCAAGCTTTGACTGACTGACGCTTAACCCCACCAGGACCGCACAACTAGCGATAAACACCCGCTGAAATAAAGTGCCACCATCTGGACCCAAGTCCAAGAAACCCCTTTCAACCAGTAGTTAATATTTAGGGACCCCGACGCCAGCCGGGATAGGGTTTTAGACCAAAAATACGTCCCACATTGGGAGATAATTCCTTGTTAGTAAATCATAAATAGAATAAGAGCTGAGCCGGCAAAGAAGACGCACTTTAAAAACCTGGAATGCTACAAATTGTCCTAAAATCCCACGCTTCAATCGTGGAAGACATTTCTAGACATGAGAAGGTCTTGTTGGTAGCAATGGGCGATGATTTCCACGCCTTTCTACAAACCAATAAAACACTCTTCATCATCAGTTTCCACTTGTTCCGTTTAAGCGTTGTGGGGAGAAACAGGTTGCGATCCATTGCTTCATTGGTAGCAATGGCCAATGGTCATTCCGTGTCGATGTAGCAGCTCTTTAATGTCATCTATGCATATTCTCCCAGGACGGCCTCTTGCTTTCACTTCAGATCCTTTCACGTGTAGCGCCTGCATTGGTAGTTGTTCTGGCTGTATTCTTACTAAATTACCAAAGCCTTTGATCTTCTGTTTCTCGATCAATCTGCCGCATGGTGTTGTTCCTACAGTCTGATAATATCATTTCTAACTTTGTCTCGGATAGGTTAGTTGGCAGCTTTTATCGGGCATCTCATTTTACAGATGTTAATTTTACGTAGGTTAGTCTTTGATAATGTCAAAGTCTGGCACTGGTAGTTTCTTGACGCTCAAACTGTTGTTTGGGTGTCCTAATAACGGTGTCAGTTGGTATATAAGTGCACTGGCTCGTTGGCATCTTGTTTCTATTTCCCGATCTATTCTTCCATCCTTTGAGATCATACTTTCTATGTATTTGAATTCTTTAACTTGTTTCAGACAGGTACCATTCAACCCGATATATAGCGGATAAGGAATTCTGCTGACCTGCCTTACTTCAGTTTTGGTTGTATTTATTTTTATGTTATATCTTATGCATGTTGAACTTAGCATGTTCAAATGTTCAAAAAGTCTAATAAAACTGTATATTCTGGAAGGATGGAGAGGTACCAATGAATTTTGGTTAAACTGACTAACACTTTGCGTTTTATAGTTTTCAGCAAAAATCCTAGCTCATGCAGCTGTGTTGGAAGAAACAAAAACGGGCAGACAGACTGGCTGGTTCCTGCCACTTGGTGGAGAATTGATACATAGAAAGCTATATGTGATCAAGACCCTTTGCGATTCAGTAAACAGTTCGGAGACACAACTAGATCATCACGGTCTTTAGAGAAGGGTACATCCAAGATGGTCTCCCCGACCTCATTCAATATTTTATTTAGCAATTCCGTTGATGTGTTTTTACTGATCTTAATAACACCATCTGGACCTACCGCCTTTCTTTCCTTTAGAAGATTGATACCTTTTCTAACTTCCTCTTCAGATTGCATTTCATAGTTGATACCCAGTTCGGTTTCTAAAGACCGGATGTCTGGAGGAACCTCTGGGGCTGGTCTATTGAGAAGTATTACCAAATACTGAGCTCAATTGTCTATTTAAAGTTTAGTCTTGGTGTGTACTTTCCTTGACTAGTTTTATTTGTTCCACATTGGTCACAGGCATTCTCTTTCTCAGAATGAAAACGTAAATGCAAGACATTCCAGAAATCAAACAATAAAGCGGGACACACTGTAACTTTCAGGAAAGTCGACCAGCCCAACAAACTTGTGAATCAAAAGTGACCTACTTTGTTTTGGAAAATTTACGTGAACGTAACCGGATTTTTATTATTGCCACACCCCCCCCCCCACCCCCTCCAAGATATGGTAAACATACCTTGACCTGAAAACGGGACAACCCTTTGAGCTGAAAACAGGACATCCCAAGCAAGTCAGTTTAACCACAACACATTCTCTCTCTCTCTCTCTCTCTCTCTCTCTCTCTCTCTCTCTCTCTCTCTCTCTCTCTCTGTGTGTGTATGTGTGTGTGTGTGTATGAGTGTGTGTGTGTGTGTGTGCGTGCGTGCGTGCATGCGTGTGTAGGCTCCCGGGAGAAATGAAAATGGCTCGACAGAGGCATTTCAAATCTTAATAATTATCACGAATAAAAAATAAAAAAAATAATATGCTCTTTAATTTCGCTCGCGCACTCATTGACACTCGCACACACATTTACTCATGAAGAAAATGTCCTTCAACACATTCTTTTCTTTGGGTGTAAAACGGGACATTTGTGACGTATTTTTTGAGTATCGACTTGACGGTGGGGAAATGCCGGGGGACAATGGGACCGAACGTAAACTGTCTGGCAAAATAATAAAAAAAAAAAAAAAATAAAAACAGACAACAAATGCTGAGGTTGGTTCGGTAACCTCCGGTAAAGGATACGCAACTAACAAACAGCTCAGTTAAAAAAAAAAAAAAAAATGACAAAACAATGTAACAAAAAATCCATTTTTTTTTTTTTTTTGGATTGGAGAATAAATCCTGGATTAACTAAGAAAGGCGGAATTCAGGTTCAAATGTAGGTACAGGCCATGTTTGAAAAGATAAAATCAGTAGTGAAATCCTATTTCAAAAACATCTATATCCTCTTCATGTCCCTGTTGACACATAAGGCATTCACAAGTGATCTCCATTGCTGCCGGTCTGCTGCTTTTCTGCCCATGTCAGTTTACATTCCTTCATTCCCAGTTCCATTGTCCTTCTTCAGATTTCCTTTGGTCGCCCACATCTACTTTTTCCATCTGCTGTCCACCTGAGGGCTTTTTTTGCAAGAGTGTCATAAGTCATTCTGCAAACATGTCCAAGCCATCTTCATCGTCTTACTTTGATAACATTTGCCAGCGATGGACATTCTGTTTTCCTCCTCATTTATTTCAAAGTCATTGCTAAACTATTTCTTTCATATGAAGGATTCGCCCAGGGATATTTTACAAAAGCAATGAGTGCATTACGTTTGAGGTTTTAAGGTTTGGAACAACGAATCAACATTATGGCACACGGAGTACTAACCCACATTAGTGCTCTGTTTTTCTTCAAACTCAAGTCTGAGTCCGAAGAAGCTCAGCACAGTACACAGGCTCTGTAGCACCGGCGAGCATCCTGAAATACTTTGGGTAGATTTTAAACTCTAAATTTTGCCTGTGCAGCGCCGTTAGGCTACTCTTTTCGATTTCCGACTGCCAAAAATTTTTTTTACACTACCCAGAGACCAGGGGGAATTACTAGAAGTCCAATTCCACGTGAAAAAATTCCAGCCCTTACCGGGAAATTGAACCTGGTACCTCTAGCACTCTAAGCTGACACTATGCCTCGAGACCTACCAGCCACTTGCATTACGTTTAAAGAAGCAATGTGTTAGAAGACCTGGTCTGATTTCGTAAGTATCTTCGTTCTTCATTATTCCTGGCTCTTGAGATTCTTTGCTGCAGATACCACTCCTCTCTGTTAATTTCTGTGATTGTCCTTCTCTTTCATTCTGGGACTTACTAATGTCTGTAGGTCTGGATATTTTTTTTCCGGGTATGCTGGTGTGTTGGAAAATGAACAGACGGACAGACTGGCTGGCTCTCCAGCACTTGGTGGAATATTGATGCATGATAAGGCAGACGTGGTTAGAGCCTTGTGTACAATTTTGAGGAGAAAATGGATCACCACAATCTGGTGAAAGTGATGCAGCGAGGAGAGACGAAGGGATCTGGCCGTTGCTCGACTCTCAGAGGAGAAGCTAGACGGGCGTATAATCAGAGTGTTGATGGCACCATTGGTATTGGAACTCAGCGCTGGCTGCTGAAGACAGGGATGGAGCTCTTATGGGAATGCCCCACGTGCTGTGATGACAATTCTTGAATCAGCACAACTCAACTCAGTCTTAGAAATGTATTTCTTGGTCTAAGACTTCTACGTGCCTTACGGTGTCGCTACCATTAGCCAGCATTCCCCAATGGGAGCCTCCAGTTTGAAGCGGTGAACCCAGCGTCAAATGGGTACCTCGTAAAGTCCTGGGAAGTAAAGACGGGCGGTGTGATGTTGACCAAATCACTGACCGCGTCCTAATTGATCTATGAAATATTGGTCTAGCGCTAAACGCCTCAAGGCGAACAACACAGTCCTTTACTGAATTTAATATACATTGAATACTACAATGGAGAGGCATGCTGCGTGCAGAATGGCAAGCATCACTTCAAAGATCCCGGGTAGTTAGTGTCCTTTTTGATTTTTCTCCAGGTCATGCCGGTGTGTTGGGAAATGAGCAGGCAGACAGACTGGCCAGTTCTGCACCACTTGATGGTGAACTGATTGATGTATTACAAGCTGTATGTTGTGAGGGCCCTTTGGGAGCGAGTGAACAGTGCCGAGGCACAGATATATCATTACGGTCTGAGGAGAATGGCACTGTGAGAGTTACAAGGGCATCTAGCCGACGCTCGTCACTCATGGGAAAGGCGAGACGGATATACAATCAGACAGTTACTGGTACCATCGGAATATTAACTCTTCGCTTGCTGCTGAAGATGGGGAAGGACCGCTTATGGGGGTGGCCGGAGTGCTGTGATGTCGATTCCTAATTCAACATTCTAATACTAAGGACATGGAAAATGGTCTTTAAAAAATCAAGAAAGAAACATACCTAACAAGATATCCCACTTATCACTGGTGCCAAACACATCAGGAAAAGCCAGAAGCTGAGAGGAAAGCAATCCAACAACGATGCCTACTTGATGCACCACGCCTATCCCTCCTCGTGTACTGGACTTGCTGATCTCGGAGAGGTACATAGGCACGAGCCCATTGTAGGCTCCTGCAATCAGGAATAGTCAATATCATTGTACTGTTGACAATGAGAATAACATTCAGGGGAAGAATTCTAGAATGTCCCAGAACAATGGCTGCGGACCCTGTTTTTTTTTAAGTGGGTGCTGTGGAAAGGCGGGGGGGGGGGGGGGGGGGGGGAATGATGTATCCCCGGGTGTTATCACTGATTTAAAAAAAAAACGGGGAGGGGGTGGCGGATAATACAATGGCAAAAATGTGTGTGTGTGTGTGTGTGTGTGTGTGTATGTATGTATGTACGTATGCGTATGGGGATGACATCGTTGAAAAGGGGAGGGGGTGAGTGACAAAAAGCACAAATATGTTGTGTTTATTTATATATATATCGCATACAGTGAGTTAGGTTGCGAAATCTGTACTTTAGACCAAACATCCTTTTTTAGCAAACCCTCTAGTCCAAACCACTGGTCTACAGTTATTGTCATTATCATTCGCTTATGCGAATTCGCGAAGGTTATAATAATGGTTCTGAACTCACCTGCGCAATCGAAAATAAAACAATTACTTACCACAGTGGCAGCCAAAGATGAATCTAGCAACCACAACCGCTTCTATAGAATCAACTCTTCTGCTAAGGAACATTAGGAAGGATGCCACTACGCCCAGGCAGACGTTCAACAGACAGCCACGTTTTCTGGAGACATTATTAAACTCTTGGTAAAAAAGTACACAATTTGACATAGCTGTCATTTCGATCCGTCACAATCGTTAGTGCTTTTGAATAACCAGATATTTGATAAGACAGCCACGTTTTCTGGAGGCATAATAAAACTCTTGGTAAAAAAGTATGCCATTTGACATAGCTATCATTTGGGTCCATCGTGATCGTTAGTGTTTTAAAATAACCAAACATTTGATAAGACAGCCACGTTTTCTGGAGACATGATAAAACTCTTGTTCCAAAAGTATACGATTTGACATAGCTGTCATTTGGGTCCATCACGATGGTTAGTGTTTTAAAATAACCAGACATTCTACAGGCAGCCACGTTTTCTGAAGTTTATGAACACGTCATACGACTCTTGGTACGTAGTATAGCATTTAACACAGCTGTCCTTTGGAATAGTATGTCTGATAGTGCTTTAAATTAGGCACATATAGAACAGACAGTCACATCGTATGAAGACAGACAACTGCTGATACGAAATATTGTATTTGACATAGCTATCCTTTGGATCCAGAATGACCGTTAATGCTTTAAAATATACAGTCAATACAAGTTAACACCAAGTCACTTAAGACAAACGTTTAGTTAACATAAATAAAAGGATTGATCCTAGCAGCAACGCACGTCTATTAATTACATGTATTTGTCCCTAGTAAGTACACATTTAAATTTACAAACCTGAAATCTCGAATTTTCCGTCTCTTAGAATTCGTCTGAACGAGGTTTCACTGTACATAACACAATTAAGTTGTGTACTTAAGGAGACATTAATCCCAAGTAGGTACTGAGAAGTAAAGGCGGTCGGCTTGACGATGACCACATCTCAGATTCAGTTGTTACTTTCAGCATGAATAACTTCTAGCACTAAATACTTTAATCGTCAGTTGGCTCAGCCACTATTATTGTTTGAATCGTTCGTATAACTATTTGTAAAATATATTTTTTAAAATGGTTTTAAGCACCTTTAACAAATCTGTCAGAAAAATATAGTTAATTTAATATTTAATTTGTATGGAGAAAAAAAAAACACTTTAACAACTACATAATACCTTTTTCATGACAACATGGCCTAGTAGGATAAATAATAATTATTAAAACATGTCATTTACACCTTATTAATTTCTACAATGGCTGCTCATTAAAAAAATTAGAAGCAATCAATGTTTATTTTTTTCTTAAATTAACTTTTTTTTTTTTTTTTGTATGGTCAGTGATTAGAACCCGAGGGTCAAACAGCAACCTTGAAACTGAATTTTCAGACCTGATTAATAATTGAAAATGGCCGCCACTTAATTTTCGAAGTCATTAAACTTTTAAATAGTAACAAATAGTAGTGCAGACCAAACCAACTGTAATTTTTTTTTCTGTGTCCATTTATCCTCACCCAAGGTTTTTTTTTTTTTTATCCAGCTCATGAACTATCAGGTCAAGCGAAGAAGAAAAAAAAAAAACCTTTGCAAATAAACACTATTTCAATTGTGTTTTGTAGTGAAATCTAAAACAATTGTCTTCTAAAACAGTCTGCCCAAAAACAAAAAATAAAAGTTATCTTCAACAGTCTTAACTGCTTAAGCATCATAGACACAATTGGAGTGTACGTAATGATTCGCTGGTTTTTATTGCCTGTATGTGGTGTATGCTGTTAAGTTGACATAACGCAAGGATCTTCATACTTTTTTTTGTTCATAACTATTAGGCATACAATCCTTCTCGCGGTCATTGTTTTTCGGTTACATAACCAAAAAGTACAAAACGGGACGTCGATACGGACAAATAACAGAATACTTTGATTGGGGAAGAGAAAGTGGGAGGAGGGGTGTTAGGGGCAAGAGAGAGAGAGAGAGAGAGAGAGAGAGAGAGAGAGAGAGAGAGAGAGAGAGAGAGAGAGAGGATGCAACAGTGCAACAAGATTCGTATTAGGCGCTGGTACAATGTTAGTTCATTTATCCGCATCCTACGTCTTCAGGCGTATTAGGTATATAGAGCTAGACCAATTTTTGTGGACCAAACGGCATTTCGTGGGCAATGTGGTCAGCATTATGCTGGCCGCCTTTATTTCCTAGGACTATACCTGGTATCCACCCAACGCTGAGTCGAGCTGTTCGGCAAAGTCATTTCTTTAAAAAAAAATTAAGGCCCTGTCAGGATCTGGACCCACGACCTGCCGATCAGCAGGCGAGCATCTAGCCCCTCACATAGTCAATCCCTAATTAGTCCCCTCTTTAGGACATGTATGTTAAGAAGCAATAGGTCTATTCCGCCTCCCCCGGGCCCAATTGTGTGTATGTGTGTGTGGGGGGGGGGGAGGGGTAGCTACGGGACCCAAAAAGGAATTCATTAATTTCATCTGAAAAACAAGAAAATTTTGCCGAGACAACACAGCGTTTAAATCTGTGTGTGTGTGTGTGCGCGCGCACTCGCACATATTTAAATAGTTGATAAAGACGCCACGATCGGTACCCACCTTCCAAATTGTGTAGCAACACGTCTAGCCAGAAGACCACCACAGCAGCCACCAACCGCAAATATGGAGACAGTCAGAGCCCACAGTATCCTTACAGTGTTGTCCGTCAACTGGGTCCCGTATCTTCTGAAGATGCTCTCCTTGATAAACTCTTTGATCAGCTAGTGTTGATGAAGTAAAGAAATTACACCAGGGAATGAGAAAAGGCCAGCAAAATGTTACTCTGACATGGCAACACAATAATACAAAATCGACTACATGCTATTAAAGAATGGTCTGATTGAGTTGAGTCAACAATTGACATCACAGCATTCCTATGCATGCTCCGTCCTCATCTTCAGCAGCCAGCGCAGAGTTACAATGCTGGTGGTACCGGCCACAAACTGGTTATATGTCCATCTTGTCTTTCCTCTGAGTGTAGTGAGTACGCCAGACCCTCTGGTTACACCCAGGTGCCTCAATCTCTCCAGGCCATAATAATCTTCTTTCTCTACTGATTTTGTTGTTTGTTTTCAAAGTGCGTTGACCACATCTGCCTTGTCATGTATTAATTCGCCGCTCAGTGGTGCAGATCAGCCAATCTGTCTGCCAGTTCATTACCCACTACACCAGCATAGCCTGGAGAAAAAGATTCAAAGCATGCTCACTACCCGTGGCCTTCCCAGTGAAGCTTGCCACTTTGCTCGAAACATAACTGTCTTCTCCTTTCTCAGCATGAATTCAGAGTCTGATGAGTTTTATAATTGTATGATGAGCATGTCTAATCATCGAATGACCTGACAGCATCCACATGCTCGTACACCCTCACACACGCACGCGCGCACACGCACGCGCGCACACGCACGGTTACACACTGAAAGAAAAGAAAAAGATACACTGGCTGTTGAAGCACACGTGACTGGATAATGGGCGTACCGTGAAGAGAGCGACGTTCTGTAAAGGACATCCTGTTTGATGGTTGTATCTAGCATTATGATTCATGCTCAACAAAAACAGAGAACAGCACTTAACATGAGATGAGTTTGAAAAAAAAAAAAACGCCCGTAAATGTTATCTCAAGAGTGTCCAGTATTTGCATAACAGAGACAACTTTGTTGTGGGCCAATATCTTATTGTCCAATGCTTTTCTTAAATGCACATACAGTTATGTTTCATACCTTCAAAGAGAGGAGAAGGGGTGCAACTTACTAATTCAGGGGAGTTAATAACACCAAGGTTGTATCCATACTGAGCAGATCCTAGTACAGCTCCAAATATGGTCAAGATTAACCGAAACGTCAGTCGCTAGGAATATAAGAATGCATTCATTAATCAACCATGAAGCTATATACTCATTAAAACCGTGGTCCTCTGTCTTGACGCATGGTAAAGAAAAGATATAAAACTGAACGAAAAGTATATGGGCAAGCTTAAAATATATTAAATACAAACAAAACGTTAACATTGCGAGTATGGAGCCCTCATCAGCACATACACAAATCAAAAAATACCACACAGATACACAAAATCACTTAGCTGGTATCTCGAAGCAGCCGGGTCGATGACTTCTAATCAGATTGCCGAGACGCGTGGGCCATGAGAATAAATACCCCCTGTGGAGTACCAGGGGCCATAACTAGGGGGTTTGAGACGAAACTGTGTTGGCAATTCAGCCCGGAGGGTGTTAAAGTACCCAAAGAATAATGTGTATTATTTTATTTTTGAGAAAGCTTAGATTGTTTTCTAGAATTTGGTTTGTATTTTGGAATGCTCCAGTTGATTGTATTTAATGGTGACAAGACGCTGAGAGCCCAAAATATCTTTAAGATCCAACTGCTATGGATGTGTTTCTGATCGCATGGGCGGCTGATTGCGACTGTGGGTCTGGGTCGTAATCTTTTGGGCATAGCCAGCCCCTAGTCAACTATACGACTGGTTACCCCAGGAGTGGGCCCGTAGGCTGAAATGTGTTAAATGGTGTGGACTCACGTCAAAGTCAAGACTAAGAGTCGCCCTTTGAGGTGACTCCGCCTTGTATATCAGTTGGTATCAGGGAGCATTAGATGGACAGTAGTTCTGTAATCATCAATTCGTCTTCGTTGTCACACTGTGTTTTGTCGCAATAAATTGATTGACATGGGGTAGGAACCTGTCCTACTACTAGGCGCGTCCACCAGGTGGCGGACGGTTGAAAGGCCTCTAGATATAGAGGTTAGCCACGAACATATTGAATAAGTGGCAGTGGACCAAAACAGGTGAAGGTCATTGAGAGGAGGCGAGTTAGTTGGTGCGATAGTTAACTCTATAAAATACCTCAAAACTCTACGACATGGCCATCGGCGGGTAAAAGGCGCCCTAATCTCTCCCTCCTGCTTCCTTGCAGGGTTAGTCTCTTTAGACAAAGGCTATTAGAGTCAAACCACATTCAAACAGGCGGAAGGCAAGGGAAAACAATGATGTATTAACCCTAGTAAATCATGCCTCAGAATATTACGAATTCAGATGACGTGAATGGGAATTCCAGATGGAATCACCTCGTCCGATAGGGAGCATCATGTTCTACGGGTGATACCCGACCGTCATCCAGATACTGTAGAAAACGTAAAGGCTAGAAAAATTCTGCACATTGGTATATGGAATGTCAGAACACTCGCACATAAAACGGAAAGCTGGATAACATCAAGAACAAAATGAAGAGAATGAACATCAACATATTAGGAATAAGTGAAATGCGATGGCCAAGAGCAGGGGAAACGTATTCAGATCAGCACAAAATTAATTTACTCAGGTGGGAAGGAATATAACAAGGGAGTTGGTATTATTTTTGGATCCAAAGAACTCACAAACTGTAAAAGGATTAGGGACAATATCAGATAGAGTAAAATTTCACGGCAGAGCGTTTGACATCAACTTAGTACAGATTTATGCCCCAACAGCAGATAGTTCAGAGGAAGATATTGACGCATTTTATGAAGAGTTTGACATGGCTATTGATCATGCAAAAACTGTGAAGTAACAATGGTACTTGGAGATTTCAACGCGAAAATAGGAAGTGAAAAAGTGTACAGAATAACGGGTGGCTATGGCCCAGGAGAAAAGAATGTGAGAGGTGACAGTTTAATAGCATGGGCTGAGAACATTAGAAAAACACCATAGAACATCAAGTTAAATTCAGGAATTCTTAGAACAGATAAATAAATTAGGGAACAGTACAATGTCACTGTACAAAACCGGTATAATGCAATGGAAATTATACAGACTATTGATAAACAGTGGGATATGTTGCGTGAGTCAATACAGAAGACATCAAAAGAGACAATCCCACCAACCCATAGAGTTGCAAACAAGAAATGGATGTCAGCTGAAATTCTGCAGTTGATGGATGAAGGAAGAAAAAGAATGATAAAGAAGAATACTATAGCATACAAAAAGAAATTTTGAACAAATGCAAAGTGGCTAAAGAATCCTCTCTGAATCAAATGTGTACAAAGATTGGGGAAAATCACAGAAAAGACTCACATTCCATGTACCAACAGATAAATATGTTTACAGGAAAGATGACACGTAAACAGCACTGGATGTTTAAAATCAAATAATGGTGACTTATTAATGGGGCAGATTAATATAAATAACAAATGGACAGAGTATATAGGGGAATTGTATGATGATAATAGACCAGATGTAGAACTGCAGACCAACAATGATGGTCCACCAATAATGACTGCAGAAGTTGAGGATGCAATAAATCATATGAAGAAAGGAAAAGGCCCGGGCCAGACAACATTTCATTGGAAGAAATCGAAGCACGGAGAGATTTTGGAATTGAAATAATAACTAAACTTTCAAACGATATTTATAATAGTGGGTATATTCCAAATGACCTTTTAAAATCCATATTTATAGCTCTGCCAAAGAAACCAGGCACTTTAAATGTGAAGACCATCGCACAATAAGTCTTATGAGTCACATGACTAAGATTTTACAAAGAATATTTATGAGAATAATAATACAGAAAATTGAACCAGAAATCAGCGATTAACAATGTGGATTTGTAGAAGGAAAAGTTACAAACAATGCCTTATACATCCTAAGGACATAGTCAAAAAGTAGGGCTGTACCGAACAGTGATTTTCACTATTCGGCCGAATACGAATAGCTGGACCAACTATTCGGTCGAATACGAATACGAATAGTAAATCATCATCATCAGGATCTTTGCCGACTGGCATGGGCCATTATGCCTCGCCACAATCTGCGATCTCCTGCAGCATGTATCAGTTTGTGTGCTGACACACCTCCATTCCATGCAACCAGACGGTCAAGAATCTTCTCTCGTTGTCTTCCTCTATCCCTCCTTCCACAGATCTTTCCAGTGGTCACCATATGTTCCATTTTACCTCATCTTATAACATGGCCGAAAAATTATGACTGTCTCCTTCTGATGTCTGTGAGTAGCTGTCTTCGGGCTCCCGCCTCTATCGAAACTTGTTGTTGCTTTTTTTTTCCCCCTTTCTTGGCTGTCCAAGGCATTTTAAGCATTGTTCTGTAAAACCACATCTCTGTGGCCTCTAGAAATTGTTTGGCCTGCCTACCGATTGTCCAAGACTTACAGACATATGTTAAAACTGGATGTATGTAGCAAGCAAGAATTCTTTTTCTAACCTTCAATGACAAAGATATATTGCATAAGATGTTCTTCATTTTATAAAATGAACTTTTTGCCTGTCCTATTCTGTTTTTTATTTCAGTAATGCACCTTCCATCTGATGTTATCCATGTGCCCAGATATTTAAATTTCTGTACTTGTCCCAAAATAAAACCACTGACTTTTAAAACACATTTAGGAATAATAATTTATCTTCCAAAGTTAATACACGTACATTTTCGTAACAGTGTAACTTATAGTTCAGCATTATTTGGAAGCCTTTTGGGCTTTTCAAACCTCGTGATGGTTTTGTACTGTCTGCAAAATTCAAGGCGTTTCAACCAGCTGTTTTGTTTGTTTTAGTTCTATAACGATACCACTGAGCTACGGTATAACAGCAGCCGTCTGTGCTAAGGCCGAATGTTTGGCACCGTATACCAAATTCGAGGGAAAAAATGTGCCTATGAATTTGAGCCGAGGAGTGCATTATGGACGAAACTAGCCTGACCCATCCTAGGAAAAGGAAATGCAACTTGAAAACGATATTATGGCAGAACAGACCAGATAGTCTTGGTTAGCAGGTGTTCTAGCATGGATTTTTCTACAGGCCAATTTTAAAAAAAATCATTGCCTTAAAAAAAAAAAAAAAAAAAACAATGCTACAGCTTCTGTGGCTTGCTTTTTCTGAACTTATTTGTGTTATCTTTGCTTAGAAGGAAAAAAAAAAGAGGGAGCTGCTGCATAAGCAACACATATCTTTACAATCCTGCCAGGTTTTGTTGTAGGGAAAGGATAAACTTTGTTATTGGTATGAATTATCTGTAGTTTCTTTGAGTCTCTAAAACACAGCATAACACTATCGTCTGGAAATACAAAAAATGTGTCAATGAAAGTGATAGACTTCAGTTCTGTGTCCAGTACCCATACTTTCTCAACTGACCTTTGAAACGGATAGAAGGATGCTGGGGTGTTTTTAATAACTGCTTAATAGCAGCGTCCTCGATAAGACTTAGTCCTTTTATACATGTGGGCTGTAGGAGACTTGAGAATGACAATGTTTAGTAATATAACTTATGCAAAAAAAAAAAAAAATAGCAATTTAACGCTAAGATTGCTGTGAAAGAATCCTCTCTCAGTTTTACTGACTTGCCGAAGAGGCTCTTTAAATCATAATAAATCGTTGGTACAGAAGGTCCCATGGGTAAAAAAAAAAATTACAAAAAAAAAAAAAAAAATACGTGCTGTGAGTTACTGCTGCTTGTAGACATTTATTCTACGCCGTGTTGAAAGTATTAGAATAATGCATTTATCAAACCCAAGAATAACTTTTAAAGGAACCTAAATGAGAAAGATAAACCTGAAAGGTTATAAGGTAATCGCTGTCTTTCTTTTTTAAAATAAAGCACCCACTATGATTTTAATCTGCTACACTGCATTAAAGCAGGTGAGGATAATTTATCAGAATGTCCCCCAACCCATTTTCTCTTGATTCTGCCTGGACGGTAGACCAACAAGGTAGATGCCAGATAACCCGTTTAACCTCCAGTGAAATTATAATTAGGACATCTGCAACGATTACATCGGCCAGGTGTAACCCGTAGTCCTATGCGGGTAAGGACCCTTACACAAGAGAAAACAATATCTCGTTTATCCATCTGGGGATTTATGGAGTCGCTCAAGTATTTTAGCTAGAGCACACACACTATTACTAAGAGTTTAAATCCGCAGTAATCGCAGCTAATTTTTGCAGATGTTACCGCCTTGTCGAGACAGTGTAGACTTATGTCTGTTGAACGACCGACTGACGTTTTTACCCCACCAGGACATCACACATGCGATAAACACCCGGTGACACAAAGTGTCACCATGTGGATGAGGATCACCCGTGGAGAGGTCCCAGAAACCCCTCTGAGCCCTTAGGCCATATCCTTGGCTAGGCCATATCCTTGGCTAGGCCATATCCTTGGCTAGGCCATATCTATGCCCCGGCTATATTCAGGGCCTCCTTTAGGACTCAGGGAGGGGATTCAAGCAACGAAAAATTACATCCCACTAGGGGATGACTGACACGCGGTTGAAGGGCTTCTAAAGTAAATAAACGACACTAAGCTTTAGTTTAAAAAAAAATGTGCTCTCGGTGGAGATTGACTGGTATAAAAGACTACCGAATTCAAAATGGAGAATAAGGAAATGATGATGAAGACTGTGACTGAGTCGTTGCTTATCACTGTGTAATGTACAGGGCTAATGTTCACGTCTTTAGCCGTGTTTAGCATAAAGGTTTAGACCTATATTTATAGCCGACCGACACTTGATGGGCGATGTGGTCAGCATCACGCCGGTCACCTTTACTTTCCCAGACTTTATCTGGTATCCACAAGGTTGGGTCGAACTGGAAGCCAGTCATTTTTGAAAACAGTAAAGTTCGACTACTCGAGTTCCTCAACCCACGACCTTCCGTTCCGCGGGCGAGCGTCTAGCCACTACAGCACGACTGCTCCCGTGTATAGCGTAGCTACATTTCTGCAGGAACGGCAACCTTGGACCTGATTAGCTATGCATAGGAAAATCAGAAGTGCAGCAGTTATCGCCGTCAAATGAATGGTGGACGGTAGTTTCTCCCATTGCAACTGACATTTCTAAAAGCAGATCAGGGTCAGGGGCGCCTAAACCTCAAGGCCTATGCAACTTTAGGCTCCCCTCCACATAAAGTCAAAATGTATAAGGTGGGTAACCTGCCACCCCATTCCCCCCCCCCCCAAACCACCATCACCCCACCCCCTGCTCATTTTGGTGAACCATGTTAAAAAGAAACGATTTTACTTGTATGTTTGTCATATTATTTCAAATACGTTATTATATTTAATGTGGAACTTCTATATTCGTCAACACCAACATTCGTTTTTATTATATTATTATTTCGATGTTATTTTCCCCCGTTGAAATTGGTGTGGGACATTCTCCCGAAAAGTCAATATTCGTCCCTCCTTTGGTGTGACCGGCGAGTTATCAGACGAGGAAAAAGAAGATGGTGGGCTGGTTGCACGTGCTGAAATTAAGGAACGGCAGTAAACTTGGGCAACCATGCAGCTTTTCATTGAAAAGGACACTCAGACACACGCTATAAGCGTATCAATTTAAAATGGAAAAACATCTAAAACTTTTCGCTAGAGTTTGTAGCCGGTGAACGAAAAAAAAAGAAAAAAGAAAAAAAGAAGAAGAATTAAAACAGTTAGTAGAAGCCTGATACATACCTTTGCAATGATTTCTCATACCTGTTCAGTTACTGATTTTTTCACTCTGTAAACTGTCATGTTTGGGGCTGCTGACTTCTCTACTTGGCTGCTTTAGCTATTGAATGAAGTTGGTCTTCAACTAAATACAGAAAATATAAATACAATTTTCATGATGAGGCAACCAGATAGTAAGATAATTGTCCTCTTTTGTCAGTCATCTGCCTCCATTCATTGTATGTAACTAGTAAAGGACACAGAGATGAAATGCCTTAGAAGAGCTGCAGGAGTTTCAAGGAAAGACAGAATACGAAATCATGAAATCAGATGAATGCTAGGAATAAGGCCAGTCTTACAGGTAATCACAGAACAACAAATGAAGTGGTCTGGACACCTGGTACTATCTGCCACAGCGAGCCACACTAAAACGTTACAATGGGTATAGAGCGAGTGGAAGACCTCGGAAAATATGGAGTGATGGCATTAAGAACAGCCTTACAGAAATGAACATTAGTCTTAATAGTGCTGTTGACAGAGCACATCAACGAACATAACATCCCCCCCCCCCCCCTACACTTTGATAAGGTACAAGGTGGAAGAGAAGAAGAAGGAGAATAATAATAATAATAATAATAATAATAATAATAATAATAATAATAAGAAGAAGAAGAAGAAGAAGAAGAAGAAGAAGAAGAAAAAGAAGAAGAAAAAGAAGTAAAGGACCTTCTTTCGTGCCTTCGTGCGTTTTAGGCAAAAAGGGCTCAGCCTATATTTTATAGAACAATCGGTACTTGGTGGTAGATGTGGTCAGCATCGCGCTGGCCGTCTTCACTTCCCAAGACTGCATCTGGTAGCCACTCAAGGCTGGGTCGACCTCAAAGGCAAGGTAATTATTTTTTCCAAGTCCGGCTTCGTCAGGACCTGAACCCCCACCTTCAGATCCACAGAGGAGCATCTAGCCGATCACTACGGCGACTTTCCATTTACGTAACTTGATTTATTGTTGATGACGCCAAGCGTTTGTAGATCTGCCTAATATCTCCTAACGTCTCCTTTCACCAGCCTCATTGTTTTTTTAAAGTAGGTTTATTTGTATACAGTCTCTCTCTCTCTCTCTCTCTCTCTCTCTCTCTTCTCTCTCTCTCTCTCTCTCTCTCTCTCTCTCTCTCTCTCTCTCTCTCTGTATGTGTGTGTTATTTACAACTAGCTGTGCCCTGCCACGCGTTGCTGTGGCCACGAATAGTGAAATGGAAAAGAAAGACAGTAGCTCTCAACTAACAGTGTCTGTCATAACCCTCACCAACCGTCCTTCTCCCTTCCACCCTGTCATATCTCCCTCTCCGAAGGAGTGAAAAATCAACCTTGGCGAAAGTATAAAAATAGAAATAGTTAAGAAATGAGAACCTGAAAATAATGTTTTAAGCTCTCTTAGCTAACAGTGTCTGGCATAACCCCCCCCCCCCCCCCCCCGCACCCCCCCCCCCCAATAATATATCCCACTCCGAAGGAATAAAAAATCATCGCTTGGCGAAATTATTAAAATAGAAATAGTTAAGAAATGAAAACTTTAAAATAATGTTTTAAGCTCTCTCAGTTAACAGTGTATGGCATCAACCCCCCCCCCCCCACTATTCATATAATCCTCGCCGAAGGATGGGAAAGTCATCATCTGGCGAAATATTGTACTAAATTGAGCTTTGCATCTGTGTCCACCCAGAGACAAATGGATAGCATTAATGTATACTGAGAAGTAAATGTGGCCAGTGTAACAGCTACCACATCACCCACCCAGTTCCGGTACTACTGCTACCACTACCACCACCACCTTCGGAACAAAAACAAAAAACAGTCAACAGCCCTCTTGAGGGAAAAAAAAATTAGCACCCAGTGGGTAATCGAACATCGGTCAACCGCGTGAAGGGCGGAATACTTACAACTATACTACCTAAGACTGAAGAGTTTTGATCCGATATGTAAACAACAACACAACGTGCCAACCGCCCTCTCAAGATTACCCGTGACATGACCAAATCACGTCGCCGCTATTGCAGGCTAGCTGTAAACCCAAAAACCAAGTAAAAAAATAAGTAGATATCGAAGCCTAGCTGTAAACCACAACACAACGTGCCAGCCGCCTAGTTAGGGGCCACACAAAAATTGTTAATCACCCAGCGGGGCATTGATCGCCGGTCACCCGCGTTAAACGCATAATATACTACGCTACCAAGGACTCAAGCAACTGCCCAATTATATCTCCCTCTCCGAATGATTGAAACATTATTATGTGGCGACATTGTTAAAATAGAAATAGTTAAGAACTGAGAGCTGTAAAAAATTCCTTTAAGCTCTCTCAGTTAGCAGTCTGGCATCAACCCCCATCAATACCCCCCCCCCCCTTTCCCCCTTTCCGACAATCATATCCTCCTCTACGAAGTATGGGAAAGTCATCGCCTGACGAAATATTGTTGTTAAATTGAGCTTGGCATCCGTGTCCACCCAGACAAAAACGGGTAGCATTAATCTGTACTGAGAAATAAATGTGGCCAGTGTAACAGCTACCACATCACCCATCGAGTACCAGTACTACTGCTACCACTACCACCACTTTCACAACAACAACAACACAGAACGGTCACTACTGTCTGTACAGGTCGTTAAAGCCAGAGGAGTTGGCGCCGCATACTGTCGCTACGGACTGTTTAGTTTAAGTGTGTCCCCGACACAAAATTCCGTGATTTAAAAAAAAAAAGTACACTATACTCACAAATAGCGAAAATAAAAACCCGCACTCGTCATATCTTCCTCTCCGAAGGGACGATGTTTAACTAACCTTGGCATCCGTGTCGACCCAAACCAACCTGGACAGTAAGCCTTCTTAGTTAACAGTTTCTGTCATCAACGAATAGTTTTTGATCGAGTGAAGCGTCGGGGGGAGGGGGAAGGCTAATTTGGACTGTACTGAAATCGGATGTCTTTGGGTAAGGCGCAGATGTCGCAGCTTAGCTGTAAACCACAACGTGCCAATCGGTCCTTAAGAGAAAAAAGAAAAATTAGAACCTAGCTGAGACTTTAGGTCAGATATCGCAGCCTAGCTGTAAATCACAACACAAGGTGCCAACCGCCCTCTCAAGGGCGAACGAATATTACCCGTGACCTGAACATTGAGCATCAAGTCGCCGCCATCGCAGGCTAGCTGTAAACCCTAAAATCGAATGGGAAAAAAAGCGTAGATACTGTAGCCTAGCTATAAACCACAACAAAGCGTGGCAGCCACCCAGTTAACCCCCCCCCCCCCACGCCTCCCCCCAAATGTATATTACTCAGCGGGGAATCGAACACCTATCACCCGATTAAATGAGAAATGCTTACAACTAACTACGTTACTAAACACACAAGCATTTAGTAGAAATGAAAGTACATACTAATAATGTGAAGTTCGGCGTTACACAGTCAAAGGTGGCCAATCGATTAAAAATAAATCCGGGCGGGCAACAAAACAAATAATGTTTTGACCGTTGCTGGAGCTACGTCGTTCGTGATTTGTGCGATTTTATGAAAAAAAATTACGCTTTGAGTCAGAGGCAACGTTGTGTGCAAATTTTAAAGCAATCGGTTCAGCATTTTCCGAGTTTAGAGCTAACGACATCGGAAAATTACCATTTTTATTAATATAGATTAAATCTCCATATTTAAATAATGCGGATAAAAACAATACATTGCACAATTTATGGCCAGTCATATTTCGCTCTATCTCATCATGTGCGTTACTACAGAGTTACATCAACATAAAGTAAAGCACAAAACTGAATAAATTCAACTGAAATGCTAATAGTTTCTTCGATACATTGTCTCTGTTTCATGGCCGCCGGAAGCTCACCGTAGTCACTTGACTTACCAGGGTAACTTCAAATTTAC